CCAAACGGCAGTATGTGACGAATAGGGGTGAGACCGTGTTGGTTGAACTGTGAGCTGACTGGATGAAGAGCTGCTTTCTCTCTGTGTCAGGAGGTCTTTTAAAGCTATCTGACTGGACTCCAGCACCAAACCCAGTAAAAAGCAGAAGAAGAGATCCATCTGTCTTTCTAAAGTGTTTTCCATCACGTTCTGGAGTATACTGTAATCTGTGAAGCACTTCACTCCGTAGTCAAGTTTCAGACTGGACAGATCTCTGAGCTGGTGTGGATTATTCACATTAATGACTTCAGTCACATATAAAGCTGCCAGAAACTCCTGTGTTCTGTGATTCACGAAACAGAATGATGTACGCTTGCTTTTGTCTTCAATCTTCTTTATGATTGATGAGCGTATCAGATCACTTTCATATCTAATGCCACATTTCTTGAAGTCTTCATAACAGAAGAGAGAGCTGCCGTTCACCAGCAGATGAAACGCTATTCTCCCCAGAGCTATGATGGTCTCTCTTCTCTCTCGAATCAGTTTAATCTGAGCTAACAGGAGTCTGCTGTACATCTGAGTGAGAGTCTTGGGGAAATCATCTCGGCCTGTACTGAACATCTTCTCAGGAATCTCTGCGATGATTCTGCAGTAATCTGGTAAATAACACATGCTGCTGACGCGTGGTGATTTCTGGATGTGACTGATGACTTGATCACTCATTCTCTGATCACTGATGCTCTTTCTGAAATATTCCTCCTTCTGCTGGTCATTAAAGCCCTGGATCTCTGTCACACGATCAATAAATCAAGCAGGAATCTGATTGGCTGCTGCTGGTCTGCTGGTGATCCAGATCTGAGCGTTTGGAAGCAGATTTCCCATGATCAGGTTTGTCAGTAGATCAGAGACTGAGGCTGGATCATTTAGATCAGTAATCCTCTTTGTGTTCTGGAGTTTAAACTCATTGAGTCCATCAAGGATCAGCATGATCCTGTCAGAGTCATGAAGTATCAGATGTTCAGTGTTTTCAAAGCATCGCTGCAGAAGCTGTATGAAGCTACACTCCGTCACCGTCTCTCTGATAATGTTCAGCTTCTGAAAAGGGATCAGAAATATATAATTGATATGAGTGTTTGATTTCTCTTCAGCCCAGTCCAGGATGAACTTCTGCACAGTCACAGTTTTTCCAGTTCCAGCTTCTCCCTTCATCAATACGGTCCTGATCCCTCTTTTATCACTGATGTGAGAATCAGGTTTCTCTGTGATGTGGCGCTCAATAAAGACATCATTCAGTTTTTGTCTTTCTCCAGGTTTTTCATTCAGATACTGAAACTCATCCTTCAGTCTCTGTTTGAACATTTCTGATACTACAAAGACACAAACACAGTTCAACTAATTTCACATCACTTGCTTTTCTATTACACTTACATCATTAACATTTATTTTATGCATATGAGTGAGCAATACTATTATAAAAATAACAACATACACAAATTAATTCTTAAAGTTCAGTATTGCTATTATATTTCCAGAAAGCCTTGTTTAGTCAAGTGAATTGATTGACTTGTAAACATACACTATATAGAGATCGCAAGATTAAGTGCAGGATGAAATAAAACAATACTCACCTTTTATGTACATTAACAAATTTGCAGAATTAGAGCTGTGAATAAGAAATAATTCATGAAAATTTTAAAAGTACTTCACATATACATTATCTATAAGCCCAAACATACAGCATTTACTGCCTGAGATTCAGCAAAAACATTTTCTTTAATCATCTGTGACAGACTCATATTTTGAGTTTTTTAAAGTGGAGGACACTTGTATGTATGTATTAATCTGCACAATGGTTTATTCTATTTAAAATCAAAGCCTTCAAATTAACCATCTTTAAGTTAAAGTCATGTTTTGTGATTTTATGAATGTAAGATTATTACCAGTCCTTGATCCACTGACAGTCTGTATTAGGAATCTAGAGAAAAAAAGGACTTGATAAATGAGTAAATCATGTCAAAAAGGTCTAAAACATATCATATATTATTTTTTAACCAATAGTCATTTCTAATACTGCAATATTCCAGAAATCACAAAATGAAATGAAATTAATAATTGTCTCTACACCACCAGGAACAAACATGAGTCGCTAAACACTTAATTTTCATTCATCACCTACAATGTTCTTTATATCTGTACATGTATCTAACAAAACAGTCTTGTGGTAATTCATAACTATTTTGTATGTTTTGTCGGATTAGTGGCTAATTTGTGAATCTGTGCAATCTCATTCGTAGATTTTTGTATGACCTGCTCACGCCCCAGTGACGGTGACCAAATTAAAATGGTAACCCTTTACAATAAGGTTGCATTTGTTAACATTAGTTAACTACATTAGTTAACATGAAAAGTACTTCTAAAGCATTTATTAATATTAGTTAACATTAATTTCAACATGAACAAAAACAATGTTTCATTTTAATAATGTATTAGCAAATATAATTTAATGGAGCTGAGCTAATATGAACTAACAATGAACAGTTGTATTTTTATTAACATTTAACTAATGTTAAAGGGGTCATATGATGCTGCTAAAAATAACATTATTT